CATAAGGCCAGCAAGGCCAAGGGACCGTCCCAGACCACCTTCAGTCCTGGTCAGTGGGTGTTCGTGTGGCGCAGGCTCACTCGGGCCGGGTCGCGGGCGGATACGCTGGGTCGCAGGCGAGACGCTTGGACGGGACCCGGGGTCGTGGTGTTGGCCGAGAGGGGAACAGTCTGGGTGGCGGTAAGAGCCCGACTATGGAAGTGCTCTCCCGAACAGGTGCGGCACGCCAGTCCCGAGGAAGAGTTCGGGATTCAAGTAGCCCAAGATCCACAGTGGTCCGAGCTCATGGCCCAGGCACAGTCCAGACGAGCGTCGGCCGTGGACGTGCAGCGAGAAGGCCCCCCTCCTGATGAGGCTTGGGATCAACCTCTGTCGCCGGGGTCAGACTCTGCTCCTCAGTTGGCGGGACCCGGGGCCAGGCCAGAGGTGGCCGAGCCTGTGGGCCCAGTGGGCCCTCCCTCCGCGGGTCGTGGCTTCGATCCCATCGGTGCGGGGCCTCCTCTTCTTAGGACGCGGGGTCCTCGATCCAGACCATCATCGGCAGGAGGGTCAGCGGTGGCCAACGCGGGTTCCGAGAGGACACGACTTCCCTCGATCTCGGAAAGTGTCGAGGAGCCAGGCGAGTCATCAGGCATCGGCACGCCTCCAGGCGAAGGAGATCTCCAAGCGGTCCCGGGGCCCGACGAAAGGATCCCCGGGGAAGCCGTCGATCCTCCGTCTGTCGAACCTCCTCCTCCCGTGTCGCTGCCTCCTCCGCCGCCCTCTCCGATTGTGCCAGTCAGACCAACTAGGGCCAAGCTCGAGCAGCCGAGCGACGTCCCTCACTGTTTTCGGAGACCCCTAGGGGACGAAGGGCCAGGCGTTAGGTCCGCCAGCTGTCCGCCAGAGGTTAGCGAGGCCAAGCGGCCGCGAGTGGAGCCCCCCCCGGGCCTGGAGCCGCCTCCGGCAGCAGAGGCCGACTCGGTTTCGTCGTCGTCTGCTGCGGCTGCTGCCGCCGCCGCCGCCAGGGACAGTAGAGAGAGAAGCCAGTCGAAGCCCAGGGGGGAGCTCGTCGGACGACGGGTGGCTGAGATCGAGGCCCGGACCGAAGCTGAAGGCGGGACTTCGTATTTTGTGGAGACCAGCGAGGATGGGTGTTTCCTGGGGCTTGTTGAAAGGGTCGAGAGCTCCGGGGACAACGGGGTCTTGGCGGCTAGCCGTGGAGGAGAGATTTCCCTCAAACAGCTCAGTCCAGCGGAGAGAGCGAAGTTCGAGATGTCAGATGATAAGGAGTGGCAGAACATGATGGGCTCAGGAGCGGTGGAAGTAATACCTCCCAAGGAGGCGGGGGCTGTCAGGCGCACCTGTCCTGATCGGATAATTACCAGCCGAATGGTGCGCCGGTGGAAGCCGGTGGAAGGCACCTTCGCCGAGCCCACTGCCAAGTCGAGATGGTGCGTCCATGGTCACAAGGACCCGGACACCGGGTCACTGTTTGTGTATTCGCCTACCCCTCAGACTACGTCAATTCTCATGTTCGTCCAAGTCATGATGAACTTGGGTCATTTAGGAGATATAGCCGACGTCAAAAACGCCTTCTGTCAATCGAACCCGATGCAAAGGACCCAGGGAGAGATTTACGTGGAACCCTGCGAAGGGATTCGGGTGGAGAAGGGATCCCTGATACGTTTACTCGTCAACGTGTATGGGCTCGACGATGCCCCCCTCGCTTGGAGGAAAACCGTGGTCGGGTTTCTGCAGAAACAGGGTTTCGTGAGAAGCCTACTAGAACCGTGCTGGTGGATCAGATACGGCCCTGACGGGGCCATTCTGAACATGATTCTTCTGGAGGTGGATGACTTCTTCATATCCAGCAGCTCTCGGGAGACTCGCACGTGGGTTCGTCAGGTGCTCGAGTCCCGGTTCAAATTCGGGAAGTACCGCGACTGCCACGAGGGGCCAGTCGAGTATGCCGGGAGGCGTGTGTCGTTTGCTCCCCACCGGACCCTCATCGATCAAGAGAAGTACATACTAGAGGAGGTCAGGCCAGTGAGCATGGAGCGCGGGAGGCTCGGGCTAAAGAAAACCCCTCTCACTCCCGCTGAGTTCAAGTCCCTCCGTTCTCTGATATATAAGCTTAATTGGGTCGGGCGAGAGACGCGGCCCGAGGCGGCCGGAGCGGCCAGTATCTTAGCTAGCAGGCTTATAACGCTACGACGGGTGACGTCACCATCGCCAATCGAATGGTGAGGTACTTGCGGTCAACGGCCTCCAGAGGCCTCAGCATTTGGAAGCTCGACCCTGATCGTATGGCGTTCGTGTCTTTCTCGGATGCCGGGGGTGTTGGAGCCAACGAGGGAGTCGTGGACGAGAGGGGTCTCCCCGAAGACCCCACCCAGGGCGCGTGGATGATTCTTGCCACGGACAGGAGCGTGCTGGATAACTGCGCCGTGAAGGCTTCCGTGCTGGGATGGCGCAGTTCCAAGTTGCGTAGGAAGGTCTCTTCGACTTTAGCCGGGGAAACTCAGGCCCTCTCCGCCGCCGTGGCGGAAGTAGAATTTCTGCAGGTTTTGTACCGGGACGTGGTTTTCAGGGATGTTGATGTGAATGACACGTCCAGGGGTTCAGGACCTTTCACGACAGTTCTCAGGAGGGACTGTCGGTTAGGCGGCCGAGTGGATCAAGTTCATGTGGTAGACGCAAAGAG